TTTTCTTTTTCACACCCCTACTTAAATATTCATCTGGTAAGATATTTTCAGTCTGTTTGTTTTCAGTCTATAAGTTTAACTCTGTTGGGCATTCTGTAGATGTTAAGCGACTTATTGCTAAGTACCACAGGCTTGAAACCGGAGGCTCGAAAGTGGATCAGAACTTCACTGGCATGTATTTCAACTATCGGCAGTTATAATGCAAGGCGGAAGACAGGAACTTTTATTCAGAATAGCAAATCTAGTAACGTGGCCACGATCTTAGACCTCACTTAAATACACGTGAACTAATTAGTATTCTTGCGGGGAAACGGAAAGAGAGAAGTGAAAGCACAGTCTCATGCTTTTTTTACTTCTCCTGTCCCCATTTCTGAGAAAAATACTTTAACGCTGGGTCTCCGAAATGTAAAACCAGTGCAGTAAGTCAAGCGAAAGCGATATACAGCTAAAGTTACGGGAAGTATAAAAGAAATATTTTACTATTAAAATAAATAGGACTGATTCGGAATCAATATGGAAAGACGTGTAAATGTGAAAGACGTATAAAGGCTGCTCCTCTGAATTTCAAAAAGGGTCCACGAATTTGGTCATTGCTATGTAAGGTCGCCATTTTTTTTTCTTGACTCTATCTACTTAACTTTATTATAATTTCTTAAAATTAATCTGTGAAGGTTTATATTAAGATCTGTGAAAGCAAATTATTGCTTTTACCGAAAATAATGTAAGCGTTAAATGGATACAAAAATACTGAACAATCAGTGATATACTAAACATTAATAACCTATTACCGTATTTTCTTGTGTACTTTTTCTATCAGCCTTTCAGGACCAGGTCCTGAAATTTTGAAAAATTTCCCCATAATTTTCTCTGTCCGCAATGCATTCAGAAGACGAGCTTCCCTAAATTTTAAGATAGATTCGCCCATGTAGATTGATTTCGTCTTGCTAATAAACACTCGCAAACTACTTGAAAAGGTCACGTCGGACTTTTCTCATCCAATTGTCGAACTTTATGCAACCTAATGAAACAACTGAGTCATCACGGGAAACAAAACTGGACTGAAATTTAATCTTCCATTTTACAAAGTCAGCTGACTTTCTCCAATTATTTATTGGTGATTTGAGACCTCAGCAGCAGCAGAGTTACCTGTGTTTATCTATGACTACGTTTTATTGTTGTTACATATGGATTTATTGAAAATATCAATCCAAACATACGAAACAGCTCAAGTATCATATAAGAGCAGTGATAAATAATAAAAAACATATATTTATAAAATAAGAATCAGAATAAATGAACATGGGAACAAAAAGTAAAAAGTTAAAAATTTAAACAACAAGGAAAGGAGCGTAAGATATGTAGTCTTTACAAGGAGTTCATGAAAGCTCTGGCATTCCAATATAGTTTACTTATTTCACCTCGTTTCTGAGACTCTTAATCTAGATCTGGACATATAAGAAGATGCTCTGCATTCATGATGCTCGAATTGCAACGTTGGCATATACTAGATGCAAGGATGCCAAAATATTAAGATGATGTGCCATGTAATCGTGACCTGTTTGTAGTCTGAAATTTGTCACAGCCTCTTCACGGGGTTTTTGACAAAAACCTTTTCCGCGTGTGTTTGAACGTTAGCCCAGGATTTGGTTGTCGATTTTGCTGCCTGGTAAAATGTAAAAAATACCCATGAATTTCCCAACAATATGCTTTTTAAGTGACTCTGGAGGAAGTGGTTTGCTGTCTTGTGGCGCAAGTGTTCCTCTCTTAGTTAGTGAGTCTGCCTTTTCGTTACCGTCGGCATCTACATGTGAAGGGATCTATTGAGAAACGATTGTTTTGTTGTGTTTATAATGAAAGTTCAGGGTTTGTCTTATTTCTCAGATAATCTGAGTATCTGAGTCATGATTTATAACTACAGCCTGGATGACTGCTTTGGAATCGACTAAAATAACTGCTTTATAGAAACCATCGATCTTTACCTTGAGGTTTTCCAGAGCCAGTGAGATTGCAATGATCTCTGCATCAAAATTCGACATGAAGTGTCCCACAGGAGTACATTGAGAAAAACGTTTAATTCATACACTACCCTAGTATTTTGTATTTTAGAGCCATCAGTGTATACTCTAGTTCATTCAGGTTCAGGGTATTGTTCATATAACATACATAATATGTTTGATTTTAATATTGCATCAGGAATGTTTTTCTTTTCCAAATCATATATATCTAGCTGGTATTTGATATCAGTGTATTCAAGGGGATTAACCATGAAATTTTTACAATTCATCGGTTTGTTTTCATCTGTTTCTTTTAATAATTTCTCACAAGCCTCTAGGGAAGACTTTTGGGTCCTCATAGTACTTGGTTTACATTCGTTCATCCAATGCGCTGTTTTCGATGCTTTCATTTTAACGAATGTACCAACTGCTTGTTTCTTGATTTCAGTAGCAATTAGTGGGTTGGAAGTATAGCTTTGCATAGCTGTAATCGGGGTAGCTTTCACCGCTTCTGTGATAGTTCGAAGAGTTTGCTTTGGACCCTTTCCAAAGAGTCAATCTTCCCTTATGTGGTAGAGATTAACACCTCACTTCCATATTTGAAAATATGTTTAATGCAAGTGCTGTAAGTTTAATTTAGGGTAATCTGTGAGTTTTCCCATTTGGTACGCCCTATGCCATAATCCATAAAGAGCAATGTCGTTGCACGGCTTGTCTTGTAAAATCTTCTGAGTACTTTTTTCTGTTTTCACCATCTAAATCAGAGATTCTGTTGGAGAAATCGAACTAATCTATACTGAATACGACTAGAACAGAACTCTAACATCGAAGAAAAAGTATTAGAAATTATACGAAGTTTGCATTTTTGAGTTTTATAAGTACGTTTCTGAAAATAAAGTTTTCAGCGTCATATCTCGGTAGGATTTCAACTGTCAACACCTTAATATTTAATTTTCGTAAAAGAATTTTTACCTTTTCGCATGGTCTAATAGACTTTGTAATTTTCCGTATGGAAATTTTTGCATTCTACTATTCTAAACATTTTCTGAGTTCCAAAGACTGGCCAATTTTGTCATCTTACAAGGCTCATTTTTAGGCCTCTTATCACGCATCACCTTTCCTTTTTTAGCAATGTTATCCGAAAATGGTATCCGGAGTTAGTTTTATGGAAGTTCCTTTCCTTTCTCCAAGTTTTCCTGTGCGTAGAGTACATGTACATAGTCAGCTGGATGATCTTGATCGCTCCTGGTACAAGAACATTTCAAGTTTTCTTTCTATTCTTAAATTTAGGTGAAATAGATCAGAAAAATCCTTCAAGCATCTTAGCATGCTAAAATTGAAGAGCTAACAGTGGTCAAAGGATTTTTCAAAAGATGCTCTGGTATTTTGAATGTTACCAAGATATGAAACTAGAAACTTGGTGGAATAAAAAGGGGAAACATTAATGCAACATGGACATGTGTAGTAAGGCCTGATAAAATTTAACAACGGGAAATCTAGATCGAAATAACGGTTTTAATCATAATATTGCCCGCATACGGATGCTTATGTGGCTCCAAAGGATACCTTAATAAACTTGATGAGAAATTTAAGCCTCTGAGGGCCCATTACTTTGATGAGCCAGCTTATGAAACTCAAGAAAGTAAGGTAAACGTGAGGAGACCATTGTCTCTTATATTGCTTGTATGGCAATCAGTTGGAAAGTGACGAAAGACAAAAGTATCGCCACACAAAAAAAAAAGAAGTAAACATCAGCACTCCAAGTGAGGTTTCCGAAGCTGTGGTCTCAAAACATGTGAGTAACAAATGGTCTGATCAAATTATCTTCTGGAATGGTTTGATAACTAGAACTTCTGAAAAATTTGTAATAATACAACTAATTCCAGTTTTGAAGAAACGCTTATTTAGTTATGTAGTACACTATAGGATGGATCGTCAAGTCACCATGGACATTTTCTTTTCATCCGGTAATGACCATTTACAATCCTTCGCAGAATCCTATTCTATACTAGCTAAAGTGTGTGGACGTCTGTCTTTTAGATAGATGACTCATCTATCTAGCCTGCCTAAATAAATAGATGAGGATGGAAGATAGTTTGGACCCAGGATGGAGGGGGTAGTATAGAACTGTATTCATAATGCATAGGTAAATCCTTCTCTTTATATTGAAAGACAGTCCGAAGTAATTTTCAAAAAGCATAGGAAGCTGGTTGGCAATGCCACAGACTTTACCTATGACATGCTTAAATTGGTAAGTCCATGCATGATATTGCGCACTTAACTCACAAACCTTTAAATACAGACTGAAAATTTAGCAACTTCGAATATGAAGACGGCCATGTGACCACCCACATTTCAGCATTTTCGAGTATCGGTCAGTCTAGTAGAATTAACGTCGTAAAAATTTATAACTATAAAAAAGATAATATACCTCTATCAAACTCTTGTTTATTGATTATTTCCTTGACATTTATCATTTACTAAAATTGAATAACTCTTTTTCAACTCAATCAGTTATAGACGATCTTAGTGTAAAAAATCCACATCATCTATGAACAACAGAACATTTCCACATTTAATCATTGATCTACTGTTATTTTCTGTCATACAGAAAATACTCGTATTTTTCCTTGCTATAGTTTTTTTCGAGCATCCTTTGCAACCCAAAAAATATTTTACCGAGAAAAAGTCATCTTTAAAAAGTTTATGATAATTATTAGGAAAGAAAATAATGCATTTTCAAAATTAAACTAATTTTGATGCCTATGATTTAATGCCAAGAGATGTCAATGGAACTAAGAATTCAATAAACACTTCTAATTTTGAAACTTCTCAGTCAGAAATTTTTCAACTGAAACCGATTCAACACTACTGAAACATACACAGATACTCGCATTTGAAAAGAATCAAAGACAATTTTTCATCGTTAGACAATTATTTGAGAATCTAAAATTACTCTTAAAATTATCCTTAACCTTTTTAGAAAGAATCTGCTTTTTTTTCCAGAGTATGGAGCCATATTATGGACTGTATCAGAAAATACGTCATCGATTGTTCTTCAGAAGAGCAAAGAACGAAATTCAATGAAGCTGTCAGTAATTCTATTGACTCTGTTCACGCCATTTGCAGCTCGGAACGTTATCGAAGAGGTAAACCAAAAACATTTCATAATGAAAAATTTAGAAAAGTAAATAAGTAACTATTTTGTGAATTACAAAACGCCTGTGAATTGAGAACACGGCGTAATATTGTGCAATGCAGTAAGCCAAACTTGTCCCGAACTGTGTCTCGAAAGTAGTTCCCAATACTGAAGTCAAATATATTTGTATGACCTTATAAGAATATGTACCGACTATGCGTGACTAAATAAATATTTCATTGCTTATGAAATGTTTTGAGAGAATGCATTATTTTTGTAGTTCTATCACATTTAAAACTATACTCGATAACAAACAAACATTCCATTTTCATTGATATGCTTCCTTAGGCATTAGTATAAAACATCAAAGTTCTTTTTCATAAACATGAGAGAAAATGAGGCAAGAAAGGTGCTTTGAAAATGTGCATTTGCAGTCTATAGTAAAGAATAAAATGCCCTTAATTATTATTTTGCTTAATGTTTATTTGTTAGTTAAGCTTTACCGTTTTCAAAAAATCTTACAGGAAAATCTTTATACATAATGTTCAATATCATCAGTTTACTCATGTCACTGTGGTAAGTGTTGGAAAGTATTATCCTCTTATATGGAGATATTTCTGCATTTGAAACAGTAAATAGACAGATTAATTTAATTAGCTAAAATAATCACTTGTAAATATTATCAATAAACTGCACAAATTTCAGGAGAACCATATTTCTAAAATTGCTCAGCTGGGTTGGCCAACAGGTAGCTGTTCAGCGTAACTGGTATTCTTTTGATGATAATAATGTATAAATATCTTCGATCTCCAAAAATAAAAAAGTAATACGACATGCGCATTTATTACATTATCAAACCACAATAATCAAAATCTAAAAAGCCGTCTTCTTGAGTTTTTAATAAAGTTTTCTTATCATTTGTGTTATTTCAACATTTCAGTTCCATAGCTTGTTCTAAAAACCATATGTGTTTAGAAGTTTAAACTTTGTTCTTAATTTTCAACTAGAAAAAGCAAAACCTGTCAGAAAATTTGCTTAAGCATTTTTTAATCTAAGATTTTAAATCTTAAAAATTTTTAATCTGAAATTTGCCTTTTATTTAAAGCAGTCAACAGTGTTTGATAAAATATTAATCAAAGCATGACAAAATTGGAAATAAAAAATATTTATAACGCCACCTAAGATGTCCGGTAAAATGTAACACAATGTTTCCTAAAATAATCAGATCGGTGGTTGATTGATAACTGTTATCGATAACTGGTGTTAGTTACTAGGTGTTCCCAAAGTTGAAGAATTTAAATAATCATGTAGAATATTCAATAATAATAATCATGTAGAATAATTAAAATAAATGATCATTTAGAATAATTTAAATAAATAAGCATGCAGAATAATCATATAGAAAAATCAAAAGACTGTTAAAATACTAATCCGATATACGGAGTACTGTTAGGTTAGCAAGTTAAGAAATCTGTGTTATTGAAACAGTAAAAGTCTTTTTTTTTTACCTAAAAACTTTGTGAAGTAAGCATTTGGGATACTTTAATTGAGTAACATTTGAAGAGAAAAGTAATTTAATATCTTTGATTATTATGCAGTTAGACAAGTAGAAATACCAAAGAAGAATTTTGAAAACTAAAGCTAGTTCGAACAGCAGAAAATGGCGCAGAAATGATTTAGGGAGTGTATGCCGCTTTTTGAAGATGGAGTTTTAAATTTGTTGAATCTCAAAATATAATTCGAAATCATCAGTTTAATAAACCTTAACCATAAACTAATTCCAAATTTTGTTAATGTAAAGATCATGAGCATATTGCTATGAGCTAGTGGTTCTAGCTACTATTTTAAGTTCTTTTTGGACAACTGTATCTTTGAAATTTATTTGCAGAGATATTGTACTACATATTAAAACATAGATTTCATTTTTTTTCTAATATATTATTTTTCTTTATTTTAAACCTTGCTTGTTCTAAAGCAAATATAATCAAAATATTCCTTGCAATAAAGTAATTTGTTCAGAAATTGCTAATCAGTAACTCGCATAATCATTCAAACACTCCAAATTTCCATTGAGATGTTTTGGTACACAACATTTTTTGTTATAATTTTTTTTCTTTCAAATGACAATACATCACAAAAAATTGTGGTCCGCATTTGAAAATTTTTAATTGTTTAGCATTCTGTAAGAAACTTAATAATTCATCTTTTTTCAAAGATAGTAAAATTTATCGAAAGCACTTAACTACCTTTAATGTAACAAAACGATGCGAACTGAATGGAACTGTGGAAAATGCAGTGGATTCTGGAACACATTCCAGGCTAACCCCAGAGAATAGCAGATTCATTCTAGGAAAAATCAAAGAACACCTAAAAATCAGTATTGTAAAACGTTCAATAGATTTAGAAGGACGTTTTGAAATAAATGTTTTTAGAAGCATTATTTAAGGCAAATGGATACAATGAGCGTTCAGCATAAAGGTAGTTCTGAACACGAAAACAAAGAAGTACTCGGAAAATCTATAGTAAATAAAGTTACTTCATATCGCAATTATAATTACAGAAATGTCGAAATTTAATATATCTGGGGCCGACAGAGGAATTAATATGTAGCAAAATCCGAATTAAGAACTGAATTTGAAAAACCTGTTGCCTATTGTAAAGCATGAGGGTAGATGCATAACGATATGGGGATTTTCCACTGCCTTTGGAATAAGAAATTTAGTAAATATCGGTAATAGTATGAATTATGCAGATATATACGCCATATTCTTTGTTTTGCTACTAAGCGTACTGTAGGTAAAATTCGTGATATAATTAATAACGAAAATACTGTTTAAGCTAACGTCTACATGTTTGACCTTGTATCATATTTCTTCAATATGCAGAGTGAGCATGATAAAGAATATGGAAACACAATATTTCTCCGAAAGCTGTACGAAAAGCAATTCTGACGAAGGAGCAGTACAAAATGGAATATTCTTAAACCCCTCCCCCCCAAAAAAAATATAGAATCAATGAGAAAGTGCATGAAATGTGTAATTTTAGTTAAAGGATATCCAAAAAATTATTTAATGTCCCGTTACTTTTTTACTAAACATAAACTCGTTCAAAGTGTCAGAATTTTTACGAGAGTTTATTTTCATAACATTTTAAATAAATTATGTTTTTAACTAATAACGCCTTAAATCACATTTTTCACAGCAAGCAGGTTTTAAAATAGACAATGAATAGGACAACTGAAAGAAAAATAAAGGCATTTTGCTAATAGTAACTGATATTGGCAAATAAAACTGAAGAACATAAGTATACGAAAACAAACCTAAGCCACTGTAATTTTATCAAAATACCATTTTAATGTTCGGATTTAAATCCAACCCAGCATATTTGGCAAACAACGAAATTTGAAATTCCAAAATAAAATATTTCTTTGGAACCATTCAAACTACACTGGTGTGCAAAAATTAAGGACGAGACGGTTTTTTCAATATAACTTTGTACAAAAGCTTTCCAAATCAACACATTTAATACTGTAAGATCCCCAATACGTAAAGACATGAGTAATGTAAGCAACACTTACTAAAAGAGAAATCAGAGGGATAAAAAGAAGCTTTATTGAAAAAGTAGCATGGAGCGCAATGCGACTGAAGGCCGAAACATCCCTGTGATGGGTGTCCAGCAAGAAACATCCGGTCTTTAATAGGGGATATGATCTCCCCTGACTGCTAGGCAGGTTTCACAGCGTCTGCCCATGCTGAGAATGAAGGTGTCAGTGAGTTGTTGAAGCATTGCTGCCCATTCATCTTGCAGCGCCAATCGAAGCTCCGGAATCCTGTACGGTGTTAGAGGTACACACCATACAGGGCGTCGTGCAAACAGACCACCACCGTGCAGTCTTCTGGCCACGGTAAAACGCGATATCGGTCGTCCAGTCGTCTGTGTCGTGTGTCTAGCGATTTCTGCCGCTGCCTGCCGCCTGTTTCTTCTGGTCTGTAAGGCAATATACCGGTCATCTGCGGGTGTGGTTCCTCGTGGACGACCACTACTAAAACCCCGGATAGCTGTTCCTGTAGTTTGAAATTGTCTCCAAAGTCGTGAAACGATGCTGTGAGCAATTCCGAACTCTGCAGCCACACTTGTCACACTGCGGCCTTCCTCCAACTTCCCAATGATTCGACCTCGGGTGAAAGCATCCAGATGTCGTCTAACAGATTGATTATTCGCCATTTCTTGCTGAGGCAGCAACTCGGTGTGATTTTAACTGCTATACGGCGTGCAATCTCTTTGCCAGAAATACTGATCTTACACCGACAACATGCTTTATACTACTCAGACACTCCCCCATTACGTCTACCTGCATACCTGCTCATGTGCTACCGTACATCACCTTACTTAATCTCCTGATTGGTCTTTCTGTCCGCTCTGCCTCTTCGTTCAGCTGATATGCTAATTTTCGACTTCGTCCTTAATTTTTGCACACCAGTGTATTAATGTAAGGGAAATGACGAAACATTATGCTCTAAATATTAAAAAATCTAGTTGAATTTAGACAAAAAAAGATAACATTACGCTTCTAAGTGCTAATAAAACATTAGAAAAACTTTAAAAAATTTATTTGAAATTTTTATGTGATAGAAAAATCAGTGTACGATCACTTTTATGATTTCATTCCCCCCCCAAAAGAAAAGAGATTAAATTTTAAGTACTAAATTTAATTTTGTAAAAAACATTTGATATAAGAAAAACACCAGAAAAACGCACATTTCAAAGAAAATTATGTTTAGTTTCAGTTTAATGTATTTAAAAATTTTGATATTATTTACAAAAATCGAAAATATACAATCGCTTTTGTGAGGCACGATATATGCTTTAGCTAGATTAATTAGTTTTACACTACCTTTGGCAAGATAGTTTAAGACAGTTAAAACGTGATGATACCCCTTCCCAAGAAGTTAATTCTTGATCACTTTGTTGCAATTGGGCCATTTAAATCATATATAATAAATATTATTTAGTCACGTTGAAAATATTTGGTATTTTTGTATTATATCTCGTCGATCGTGAGAGTTGGCGGAGATCTCATCTAAGCTGTAGACGACAATCGTTGTAGCGGAATTCTAAAATAATTGTTGTTTATTAAATGAAATGTTATTAATAAACAGTAATTTCTATTATTTATTAAATATTTACTTATGTTAGTGTTTATTAACTATTATTTATAAAAAATTTATAAAATAATGTGCTTGTTCATTAAATAAAGAGCTGAAGTCTTTTTATTTCATAAACAATCACACATTGCATTATAAAATCGACAGATCCAAATTAAAAATTTATCACCTTAAAAACCTGTATTAATTAAGGTTTTTAAATTAAGAGATAAATCAATTCGTTAAAATGCGAACTGCGGGAAGTATTCGACCCGCTTCGTTTTTGAACTCCTAAAAGGTCAGCTTCGTCAGGTTCTACTACTTGTTTAGGCCCTCCGATTTTTCTCGAAGTTCTGTTTAGAAGACTAGTGAGTATAAACTTCTGTACGTAATTGTTCCAATATATTACTGTTTTGTAAATTTGAAAAAAAAAATCCACTTCTTGTTGTTCTCTAAAGGGTAGGTTCCAATTTTAATAATTTCTTTTAAAAGACATGGAAGAATATAACAACATTTATTACTTTCTATCGTTGTTCATAAAAGAAAAGGATACTTATCGAGAATAGATCCAGCTTACATCAGACGAAAGCGCAGACGTCATAAATGTGTTTCGACGCCAAGGATATCCTTTACTTGATCTAAATAGCACTGGTGACAGTTTCACGATCGAGGTGGTAATACGTAAGTGCCAAATATTTTTAGGAAATACATATAACACAATTTTATATTAAACTGTATGATTTAAATTTATATATTTCACCGTTTACATTTCGCCCGTTAAACATTTTTTATGTTTCGCAGATTACTTAGAATATGCAACGTGCTACAGAAAAGTGTCTATGGACAACTGTGGTCAGCATTTCAAGAAAATGGTCGACAGTGCGTATAACCCACATTCCTCTGAGTTACAGATATGTTGGTAAGTTTTTCTAACTTCTGGTTAATGTGAAAAGTTTCATCAAAATGGGGGAAGGATTGATTACCAATTAGCTGAATCCACTAAGACCGATCAATAAAATAATCGATTCTCAAAGTAAAAAAAAATCGTTACATTATTTATTTATCACTTACCTATTAATACTACCACGTTGGCGAAATCTGGCTATATTTTATAGATGAAAAGTTAAAATTATTTATCAGATTTAAGTTGACGTTTCCTCTACTCCTTGTTTGGAATATTTCCCGACTATCGATATTTATCGTAAGTCGGCAAACTTTATCAACTTCGAACGAAATCCCACTTTTAAAATTTTAAATGAAATATTTAATTATTAAATAAAGATTATGAGACACATTTAAAAAATCAAAACAGTTACATCTTTTGCTGAATCTAATGTTTTGGTGTTGTTCATCGGACCATGTACACAGCAATCTGTTTTCACTTTAATACAATGAAAGTACTCAAGCAACTCGGTATTGCGCACCGTCTGTCTACCCAATTCATCTGGTTGTTTTTTCATTTAGGTTTGGTTTGGTTTATTTAATTATGGCAAAGCCTACTAGGGCTATCTGTCTAAGAGGAGGAATGCCTTCGTGGAGGACGTTCTAAGGGAAACTAGCTCGTATACACGTTACACATGGGGAAAACCACGAAAACGCCCATACAGCCAGTCCGTTCGTGGGATTCGAACCTCGAACCGAATTAGCGACTTTACCGCTCGGCCGCTGGGGGGGGGCTGTTTTTTCATTAACGATTCTGCGGCAAAACAGTGTATATGTGAGATATTTTAACATAGTTTCATCCACTGCTCACAAACTCCATAAGAGATATTTTAGAACCGAATTAAAGGCAAAAGATATCACTATTTGTCTCTGAACACTGACGGAACCCAGAATGCAACAAAAAAAAAAAAAAAAAGGCATGCGAAAATGGCGACGTTGTTTGACTGAAGCATTATTATGGGCAAGGTTGCTTGATAAATGTTTATGAGCATGGTTGCCAAAGTTTAGCATGATGGCGATTTCTACTAAAGTGGTCGCGATAATACGTAAATACCATTTAAGTAAACATAAATTTATTTTGAAGCATTTAGCACTTATTTCGATATTAAATTATATTTATCATCAAAATTAAAACTAAAAAATATAATGTTTGCAAAAGAAGAAATATATTTAGCATTCCAATCAGTTTTCTGCCAAGCCACATGCTTCCAATAAAACTTGGGAACAGACAACATTAAATCAATATCACGAAAGTCGCTTGCTTAGCTAACTGGTCATCCTTCTCATTACCAAGAACATCACTGTGGCCTCGAACGTAGGTAAAATGAATATCTAAAGTATGTCCACTCGCGTGTAATATAGAGAGAATTTCCCACATCAGTTTTTCACAATCTCATGATCGAGTCCTAAATATCGATATAATTGTAACATATATACATATAGTTGAATACTAATTCTGCAATCATAGTCTTAAGTCAAATAATATGCATATTCATAATCATACTGATACATCATAGTCATAATTCATACTTACATTCAAATTTCTAAATCATTTACAAAGGCAGAGTTATTTAAGATTCCTAATGTTAGTAACTTGTTTAAACTTTACTCACTACTACACAAGAAGTGTATTTTATTTATCATACAGGGTGTCAATAATTTATTCACCGGATAAAGATATATTTCAAATACGAAAGACTAAGAATGACGGAAAAAGACTGATTAAAGTTTTACTAAGCACTTCAAAGAATTTTATGCTAATGCACTTCAAGACGAGTATCAATAGTTGCTCGGAGAATATAAAGTATATGCTCGATTTCCCTCCAGAGCTTTGAGGAGTCACAGTAGCTGTTTCTGTAGTGATCCAAATTTTTTATTTCTTCGGTGCTGCGAATCTCTGCGGCATAAACTCAGTTCTTCAGGTATCCCCCAGAAGAAAGAAATGGAGTAGTGTGACGTCGGAGAACGGGATTAGCCGTGAAATTATTTCACTTGTACCAATCCAACGACCTGCGATCATCAAGGCAAATGTAGTGTAGATCATGCGCAGCCCAATGACAGGGGGCCCCATCTTGTTGGAAAAAGTTTGTCTTCATTTCATCTAATTGAGGTACCGAAATTAGTCTCAGCACATCGAAGTAATTGCAACGCTTAATGGATCCGATGAGGGAAAAAATTTACGAGATGCAATATTCTTCAAAATGCAATTCATATTTAGCAAAAATAGTTTCTCAAGTAACTCACGAGTCAATCATCTGTTGTAAAAAAAGGGGGTTAAAATTTTTTTAATTAAGAAAAATGTTGGAATTGCTTTTAGGATCTGAGCAATGAATTTCTGAAGTAAGTGAGATCATCGCAAGTAATAATTCTTTTCATCTGACGCATCTTCTTTTTAGTAAAATACTGAAAAAGATGTCTAAAAGTAAACTTTCTGGAATTTCTAGACTAATCTTTCCAAGAGAAAATGCGTCAAAGAAGACCCTGAACCCATCGACAGTAATCACCCGAATTAACTGATTATACCGAGAAAAAAGGGACTAGTCAGTTTGTTATGAGTTAGTGCACATTAACGTAACTTAAGGGCTATTTCGCATGATTTTTTTTACAAAATGCGTGTTTTCTGATATCAAAATCTTGTAGTTGTGCCAATTAATCTCTCCTCAAACATGAAATATTGCTTCATCACTGAATACGTTTTTCTGAAGAAACTGATCATCATTACTTACTTATTCGGTAAACAGAAATTTCCTTACGAACTACTCGATCATTAGGTTTGATTTGTTGACATCTGTAGTTTATACGCAGTTAGTTATAACATCGATGAACAACTTTATTAACATACAATCTCGGAAACACGACTGTTTTATTTACGGGCATTGCACACAAACACATCTCGAATGGCAGAAACCTTTCCATCGCTGAAGCTTGGCTTACTAGCACTTCCTTTATGCAAACCATGTCCTCTCTCTCGAAATTGTCTTAATCATCTTTTAAGTTATTGTTTCATTGGTAGACGATTATTAAATTCATGCTGGAATTGCCTCTAAATTCTTTTTCGAGATTTCATTTCTCGTAAACAGAGGAGACATATTTCTTTTCAATGCATGACTCCATTTTTTTTCTGTAAGCAAACAAGTTTCTTGTTGCCATTCCCAAAAGTTGGAACTGCCTCTGATTTCTTTTTCGAGATTTCATTTCCCATGATCAAAGAAGGCATATTTCTTTTCAATGCATGACGCCATTTTTTTCTGTAAACAAACAAGTTCCTTGTTGCCATTCCCAAAAATTAGAGTAAATGAAATTTCTTAAACTAAAGATTGTATCGATACAAATTATTTCCTGTTGCTTCGTAAAATTATATTTCAATTTGATTTTGTTATCCGGGTTTAAATTATGAATACACTGTGTTTAATGTAGAGAGATAAAATAAAATTCTGGAAGGACTCAGATTTTAACGATCGCCTAAAAGGGTTTGTTAAGGTTTTTCAACGCTCTCGCTGAGCTCGCAGCCTACCAGTGCCCCTCCTGTTAACCCGTTTCTTTCTGTCTTTTTAGCTTTGTTACTGAACATCATTTCTTCACACTTAAGCCATATACAATTCAACAGCAAAATTACAGCAATTTTAAAAGCAGCATGAGTTTAGAATTCTCTGTGAAATGTTAATTGTTGGTATACATTTCTCTATTTTTCAGTCTTTTCTTAGTTTTTCATTTATGTACACTTTTCCTAGATGGCTTGCAAAACATTTTTTTTTTGTCTTTTCATTAATAACGTTTTGTTTATTAAATTTACTAATTAAATATCATGTTCTTCGCAATTACCCCATGTAAAATTTAGTTGAATAGCAAAATCACAAAATATTTAGAAACAGCATATCTAGAATTTCCAATATACAGTCTCGCGCGCTGGAGATAATAATACTCTAATCCGTACAGTGTTGCCACTGCTTGTTTTGAAATTACTGAGTTTGTTAAAGAATTCATTAAAGTTTTTACAAAACAGGAAATATAATATTCGAAATTCAAAATTTGCGCTTTCAGGTGCACATATCGAATGGAGGACAATGTTATTCAAATTTTAACGGCCCAAGGTCGTTTTTAGCAGTCTGAAAAACATACATATATTCATTCCTATTTTTCATTATTTAATTTCTTTAAAAGTAATACACGGTGTTAATATTTCGTGGCAACATTTTGAAAAGTGATTGAGACCTTTAAAGCAATACGTTGTCAAATCCCATTTCGAGACAAACAGCCCATTCGGGCTAACGCCCTTTTGGGCCAACAAGTCTAGTCCAAGGGTGGATAGCTTTTGCATGACTTAAGTGACCTTTTAATAAATGTCTTTCGTTGATTAAGTATTTAAAGCATACCTCCCTATTTGTTGTATACCTAGACTATTGGTTAAATGATTTAAGCAGAAAAGTTTTATAGGTAGAAGTATTTGTAAGTTTTATATATAGTCTATTTATTAAAGGAACCGTGGAGAACAATGATATTAATCATTTACTTCTGTGTATCATTTCGACTATTTTTATTTTTTTCGGCGATAAAATTTCATGATGAAAGCGTGTTGTTTTAGATGCAATTAATACATGGCATATGGAATCGGAAATCAAGTAAAACGTCCGAGACAATAATACACGAACTGTAACATCTGTTCGAGAATAAAAGTACTCATGAAACACAAACACTAGGATTTAATGGACTGTAATTTTATGTCTCTTAACTTCTGTTTGGATGGACAGTCTTGCCATCGCATACAAGCAGCACGCAAGCAAGCACAATAATGGCTGCTAGCTAACCACGTTGCTGTTTTCTCTCATCGTGGTTGCCAGATCACTTCTGCCTTAACATACCGCCCGGGTTGGGCATTTGTTACATAGTTAACAATAACCAAAATTAAACAGTTTTAAATCACTATATAGTCCAAATCATATATCACAAAATTTAAATTGATACACATGAACAAAAGTA